CATCTTCTTGGGCATTCCAAACTCATCTAGGAGCTGGACCTTTGGCTTCGCTAATTCGACATATAATGACTGCAACTTGGGAATAACTTCGCTCAAAGTCTCCTTATGTCTCTGGGCAGCTTCGGCCAGCGACCGGGCCGCAGCTCGGCGGAGCTGGGAATCTTTGGTGTCCAAGTATGGAATCATACGCATGGTAACAGCGGCGTCAACTGTGAATCCGCTTTCTTCCCATATCTCCGCCCCAAGCTCTCGATTTTCCTGTTCGTCATCATGGCACGCTAACCAGATCTCATCGGAATAGTCGAGGTCACTCATATCTACCTCGGAGCTAATTGACTGCAACACGCTGGTCCTGACACTCGATTGGGCCACAGTGGCACCTTTAGCAAGGACCTGCATCTCTGCTTGACTCATGTTTGGTGCGATACAACGGCACATGTCGGCGAAACAATCCTTGATGAGCTTGTAATGCTGAGCATACTGAAGCATAGATTGAATGAGAACAGTTAGAAGTTCAGTGCGCGGGATTGCATCATCGGATAAAACACCAGTGTGGAAGGAGAGGAACTCGACAGCCAAAACGAGCTGAGCATCTTGATCATCGGCATCTTCTCCAACACCGCCCTTTCGCAGAACATCCAAGACGAGAGGCAAAATGTACATCAGTGAAACAGAATCAAACGGACGCTGTTCGCCTGCGAATCGGAGACGGTAAAGAACTCTGGTGACGAGGTCTTCTAATTTTTCCTCATCGTAGTTCTCGGACAAGGTAATACCTCGAAGTCGTAGCGTGGCAACACCAATGAACTGTCGAAGAGCTCCTAGTCTTGATGAGACCTTCTCGGAACAAACAACATAGGCCAATGGGGCAATGTCGCCAATAATGAGACCGGCTCCTGCATCAATAATGTCAAGAATTAGACCGATAGAGAAGGAAAGCCAAAGCGTGGCATCTGTAGGTGGGCCGGTTGCGAGTGACTTGATGATCCCAATGCCGCGTAACAGCTTTGCTTCGACCCCCTGGATTGAGCTTCTGATGCCCGACTCCTTTTTCAATTGAGCATTTACCTTTGCAGTCTCTTCTGGAGTCAACTTCCGTTGCTGGCCTTTCTTTTGCTCAAGCTGACTTCTCAGTTCTTCTTCCCATTTCAATATGTCATAGTCCTTGGTGTTTTTGTTAGGGGCAGCGTTCTGCGCCTTCTTAGCTAGGACATCTACAAAGCAGGTCCCTTCAGGAGTTCTATAAATGGCTGCCTCGACAGGACCAATGTCCAGTAGTTGTCTGGGGTCGAGATCGCGGCTGATTAGTTCCATTAGCCGTGGAGTTATGGCTTCAGGGGCGACGAATGCCAATTCAGCGGCTGCGTTGTAAGCAGCTTGCTTAATTACATCAACCTATGACGCCCGCGTTAGTATGGTGATACCAGATCACATCTCCTGATACATCTTTACCAGTTAAAAGCTAGCTTACCTTTTGTTCAATAGTGGATCGTCGGTCGACTTCCCCGAGGAGTTCATTAGTGTGTTTCTTGGCGAGAGTACCAGGATCAAGGCCCATACGAAGGCAAATGTCAATCCAGCTGGATCGAGCAATAAGTTCGGGTCTCGCTAGAACCAGAATAGAACATGCCTGGGACTCCAATTGCTCCTGCGATACATTGCCTCCAAGTCCAGAGAGCTCACTAGGGTCCATACATATTGACCGCAAAACGTGAATCAAGTTTGATTTGTTGACTTTCATATCCTTCTCTTTGGCTTCATCAAGGGCAAAACTGTTCCACAACCCGTCAAGAACAAAGTGAGAGACCACCTCGGCTCGCTCGGAATATAATTTTGAGAGGGATCTAAGGGCCTCTTGTTGTACCTTTGGCGGAATGGAGGATGCTGTAATCAGGTAGATAAACGCCTCTGCCCAAGCCAGGGTAACGCCCTTGTCAGACTCGTCGTCAAGGCTCTTTGCCACCGACGTCAGGGCTCTACTTAACCACTGAAGATCTTCTTCGGTATTGAGTTTTCCGTAGACTCTGTAATTTAACAAGAAAGATTGTTTTGCGGCCAAAGATAATGCCTGGGTTGTGATGGACGCCTTGGCTAGGGCTGAACTTATTGAAGAGTCGGGGAACTGACGAGACAATACTGGGTTTAATGCAGTCAGAATGTAAGCTCCGACAACTAGTCCAGATAGCGCTGATCCGGCGGCGTTAGCAGTAACTTCTTGGAAGTTTACAATGAGTTTGGGAATGACCCCATCGACAAACGTAGTGAGTCCGGCAGTAGCGCTTGTGTCTCTGAGATCATACAAGATGTTGGCTACACGAAGCAACCATATTCTCCTGGACCCAGGCTTTTTATCTGCAAGCCCTTTCACAAAAGCGTCGGTGGCCGGTTTGGGGAGATCGGTTCCTTCTTTAAGGGCTAGAATTGCGGCATGGGCTAATGCTGAAGTCTCTGCTGCAAGCGCAGCTTCGTTTCCTTCTTTTGCGGAGATGGTCGAAAGAGATGCCAGAACCTTTGTGGTACTCTGTGACGACAGGGGAGTAGCTTCTAGCATTTCCGAATGCAGGATCTTCTGCTCCGCGGCGGGGAGCTTTCCGGTCGCCAAAGGATTGGCAAGCTCGTCGACAACATGATCTAAGGTCTTAAGATCATGACATTTTACCACGATTGCGCGAAAGGCCGCGATCGCTCCACTTCGAATGGATGGATTGCTGGATTTGATATTGGACAAAATGGGCTTCAAGAGCTTGCCATCCAGGATTTTTGACAGATCAAAATCGTCAGGCAGTGACGTGACCAACGGCTTCAGAACTCCTCCTAAAACGACTTCCGGAGCACGCAACAGGCCTTTCTCGATAGCAGGCACCAGGTCTTTTTCGACATCCTCGAGACTGGCGAAGTTAGCAAAGAAATCGCTGAGGCCCGACGCCACATGTTCTAGCAGGGCAGTTCGTGATCCAACAATCTCTCGCGAATAAAACTCGTAGTAATTCGGTTTCAATCTTCCCAGAATTGCCTTTAATGGCGCCTGAAGAGCCGAGACCCCAGCAATAATTCCTAAAATAACGGCGTTTTTGGCCGTTGGCTGAGCAGCCTTGGTCGTGAGAGTCGTGACAGCGGTGGTCACGAACTTTTCTCGAGTATCAGCTGAAGAAAACAGCCTGCGGAAACCACGCCTGGTCACAACAGTTGCTGATCGAGTCATACCACTTTTGGATCCTGATTGTAAACATTTCTCTACAGCATCCGCGCAGGTGAGAAGGATGTCACCACCCAGCTGTGCCCATGTGGCGGCTGAAACGTGCTGCATGAACAGACTACACCATTCAACAATAACAAAGGCATTAGATATAGCAATTCCTGGTTTCTGGATCTCTTGACGCATAGTTCTAACGACGGAAGAAAGGGCCATTGGGCTGGCTCCAGCTGCTATTATGGTGTTCAAGCATTTTTGAACTGCGAGTCTAGATTCTCGGTCTCGGTAGATTGGGTGGGTGGCGAAGAGCAGGCTCAAAAGTCCGGGAATAGCTGAAGCATCGGGTGCTGTAGCATGAAGTCAGTCGTACATATCTTTGACGGGGTAGAGGCTGGGCTCGGAGCTACTTTTGTGTCGAATGGTTTCGTCCACTTGGTGAAGCTTGGCGATTCGAATCGAAGTCGAGGCGGAGCTCAAGGCTTGATCAATTATAACTAAATCGAGCCCGGCAGCCGCTGCGGAAGAGCCGCTGTCATTGACCAACGATTCAGACATGTCGAGGAGCGAAACGAAGCCGATGGAGTGATGGAATCATCTGGGGCTACGAAGGGCTTCTCGAATTCTCACCCCGTCTTTCGATAATTGGCGGAGATGGAGGGACACGGGTCGGGTGAGGCAGAGGAAGAGAACAAGAGAAAGGGGGGACAGGCACAGGTGAGCCTGTAGAAAAGGCGACGGATGCCAATTATCGAAGAGCTTTCTCGATGTTGAAAAGCTTTGGCTAACTGTCTGCAGCTCGACCCCGGTTCCATAACATGGACTTTCCACCCCACGTCAAAATCTGGCCCCGCCTCGCAATTAGTGTGGGAACATGGAAATTCTTCTCACCGCCCGGGTCAGGGTGTATTCAATGCTGCTTTGAGTACTTCAGTATGTAGAGCATTGGCTTCACTACAGGAGCCAGTACAGTATCTACCTAGGTAGGTAGTTATGTGCTTCAAAATTCAATGAATTGCGTTTATAGTAAATTTCAGGGGTGGAATTTTTTTTTTAATTGGAACAGCATATATACTACAACGGAAATATGGTCAACATTTGAATCCGTCTCATCCAAACCACACAACGCAGCTTGAGAAGTCATGATGACTATTGGTCTGCCGGTTCAATACGGAGTAGACAGTTGGCTATCTCAGTCACTCATGTCCGCTGAAAGCAAAATTTTGCTCCCTGCTCCTGTCTCGGCTATCTTGGAAGCTCATTTGTCGCCAGGCCGGGATGACTCAGAGTGACAGCGACTGACAGAAATCTCATGACCAAGTAGTATAGTAGTCAGATCCCAGTACGGCACAATAATACCTAAAGACTAAGGAAGGACATAGGGTGTGGCGGCACTCGGGACATTTGGACCAGACGTATCAATCAATAGAAGAGATGCTAAGTGCTAGCTTGAGCTCCTATCTAACTGGTCAATGGTCCCTGCGACCGTCTGCAACAACTGTCAATCCCCGGCGCTCAGGGAGCAACCTGACGGCGCAATACGCAGTACTTGAGCCCCAGCGCCAGCCTGAATGCCGACTGGAGTCCAGAGGCTCTGTACTGCCTGGTCTGGTACCAGCACTTGAGCTCTAGCGGCAACGGCACTCGACCCGACGCTTGGCCTTGGTTGTCACTGGTCCGTCCATGTATCTTCTAGCAATGTTCCCACCCAAATAAACATCAACATCACCAGCCCCGGCTTCCTTCTGCCTCTGTCAATACTCTTTTGCTGTGCTTCCCCTTCCTTTTCTGGGCACCAGTCTCGAGGGTAATGGCTGGCAACAAGAAAAAGAAGAAGCCCGCTGCTAACCCGGCACGCGGCTTTGCCACTACCTCGATTGCCTCCAAACCCCGGCCTGAAGTATCCGACTCGGAAGCAAAGCCGTTGGCCGATGGTGTTTCTGGCGCTTCTGCCCCTCCATCCAAGGAAAATGCCCCGCCATCCGCAAAGTCCACGACTGGTGATGGTCATGGCAATATTGCCGCCCGGCAGAACAGCGAGGACAAGCCCTTGAGCCCCGAAGAGTTTGAAAGGCAGCTTGAAGAATCCGAGCTGCAGCTCCTCGTCGAGAAGCATTCCCAGAAAATCAAGCGTGATGCCCAGCGACAACGAACTCGACTAGAAACAGACCGACGCCTGCTCCGTAGCCAGGCTGATCTGGTCAATGCTCCAAAATGGTTACCTCCAGACCTGGTGGAACATATTCTCGACCTCATCAAGGCAGAGATGAGGTTTGCCGGGTCAAGCTCGTCATCCGAAAATGTTGGCACTGGAAAGCTTCCGTCCGAGGAGGACATGATTGTTCGGCTGTGGACCTTGCGCCAGACCTTGACCGCTGCTGGATTTCCCGAGGCACGAGTGGAAGCTGTTCTTAAACACATTTTGGACATTGCCACCATTGTTTCTTCTTCTGTCAAAGACTCCATCTGGGGCCTGGATGAGGCCTTGGAGTGGCTTGCCCGAGAGTGCCCTGCTGAGGAACTTCCCTTATACGAATTCAAGGGCAAGCCTATTCCCAGAGGTATTTTCGACTTTGCGGCCTGTAATCCATTGCTGTAAAAATGTCCAAGTCCGCGCGCTAATACAATTGACAGATACCCCTACAGATACCCCAAACGCATCACGCCCCGGTACTCCCAAGCCTCAATCACTCAACTCCGGCAAGAACAAAGCAAATACTCGAGGAAGCAAGTCTGCATCACCAAGTAAAAAGCTTGTCATGACATACGACCTAGACATAGAGCCCGAAGATCTGATACCCGAATACGTTTCCGCAAGAGCAAAGCATCTTCAGCTCAGCCGTAGCGTCAGGCCAACCGATAGCCAGGACAAGACACAACTAGAGATTGCTCAGCTCGAAGCTAAAATGAAAAAGATCGAGAGTGACGTTCTTTTCGACAAGTTCAATGCCGACCTTAAGTGGAAATCCGAGAAGATCCTTGTCGAAAGACAACTAGCTGCCGCCAAAAAGGAAGCACAAGCTGCGGTGGAGGAACTCAAGTCAAAAGCAGAGCAATCACCAGAAGCCAATGCCGACGATAGTGTAAACGATGAGGCAGATCGTATTGCTGCGGAAATTTTGGCTCAAGAAGATGAAGATAGCGACACCATTGCTGGACTTTTTGCATCCCTCCCACAGAATGAGGTGGATCCAAACACGGGTAAAACGCAGACTGTTATAGCCGCTGCAGATGGTACTAAACTTGTCCTCCGAGACTTTGGTAAATGGACAGGAGTGGGCCCTAGAAGAGTTTTGGAGGACTCTTGTCGCTCCAGGTAAGTGCCGAGCATTTCTCTAGCCCTTTTCTTGATCTTTACTTATACCATTTGTAGAGACCCCTCTGTCAGAATTACGTATACTGTAGTCTCTGAAGCGACATTTGCCAGCCGTCAATCCGTTGATATTTGGTGGACAAAAGCTCAGGAGCTGCCTCACGTCTTGCCTAATTCTGATGTCGAAGTCGCCGCTGACGCGACGCACTTCACCTTCACAATGAAAAGTATTGCTGTGTCTGATACCAAACAATCCGAGGCTTATGTCTCCACTGTGGCCCTTTTCCACATATTTAACGGTAATTCGAAGGATGAGAAAGTCGGTCTAAGACTACCCCCTGTTTGGAAAGACCTTTGGTCAGAAATGGCAGAAGCGAAGAAGAACTATGTGGATGCTCAAGATCGCGAAGCAGTGAGGTCGTTGAGAACCATGGTTCGCCAACGACAAGATCAAGAGCTAGAAGATGGAGTTATTGCCTTCCGAGGTCGTGGAGCAGCTAGAAACTCACCGGATTCGACACAAAATGGATCTTTGGATCGCTCAAGGCTCAACACTGCTGGTGTAGAATCGTTGCAGAGAATCTGGTTTGACAAAGCTCGGGGTGAAAAGTTCCAATCCATGTTGGTAGGTCATGTTTTCCCCGTTGAATTTTCTCAGTCGCGTTTTCACTTCAAGCCTAACTATGACCCAGAAATTCCGAATGCAGCTCCCCATGTGGCAGTTTCGACCGCAAGTCCTTGCGGCTGTTGACGACAACCAAGTCGTCATTGTCTGTGGAGAAACGGGATGGTATGTGGCCGTGATATATCCCACCCCTACAGCCGGGGCTAACATGACAATTTTAGTGGCAAGAGTACGCAAGTACCTGCATTTCTGCTGGAACATGAACTATCTCAAGGCAGGCACTGCAAAATATACTGTACAGAACCTCGCAGGATTTCGGCAATCTCTCTGGCCAGGCGCGTAAGCGATGAACTTGGTGAAAATAAGGGTGATTTAGGTACCAACAGATCCCTTGTGGGATACTCCATTCGTCTTGAAGCCAACACATCTCGGGAGACGAGACTGGTCTTCGCTACGACTGGTATTGTTATGCGAATGTTGGAGGGATCTAACGATCTACGTGAGGTTACACATTTGATTCTTGACGAGGTTCACGAACGATCTATCGACAGCGATTTCCTTCTCATCGTCCTCAAGAGGCTCTTGACGAAGAGAAAAGACCTCAAAGTTGTGCTTATGTCTGCCACAGTCGACGCCGAACGGTTCTCGGCATATTTGGGTGGCGCACCAATTCTGAATGTACCTGGTCGAACATTCCCAGTGGATGTACGCTATCTGGAAGATGCTGTTGAACTCACAGGATACCGGCCGAGCGACTCCCCTGAGGAGAAGATGGTCGATCTTGATGATGACGTTGTAGAGGGAGAGGGCAACGGTCCAAAGAGTGAAATCTCTCCGAGCTTATCGGCCTACTCTCCGCAGACGAGAAGCACTTTAACTCAATTGGACGAATACCGCATCGACTTCGACCTAATTTTACAGCTCATGGTGTGTATTGCCTCGGATGAGTCCCTCGCATTTTACAGTAAGGCAATCCTAGTATTTTTGCCAGGTATTGCTGAAATTCGAACTCTCAACGACATGCTCCTTGGAGACCCGCGATTCGCCAAAGACTGGCTGGTATACCCTCTCCATTCTTCTATTGCTACTGAGGACCAAGAATCGGCCTTCCTCGTGCCACCGCCAGGAGTGCGCAAGATTGTGCTCGCCACCAACATCGCCGAGACTGGTATCACAATCCCGGATGTCACTTGTGTTATCGACACCGGAAAGCATCGCGAGATGCGTTTTGACGAGAAAAAACAGCTATCTCGACTGATTGATACCTTTATTTCTAGAGCCAACGCGAAACAAAGACGAGGCCGTGCTGGTCGTGTCCAAAATGGTCTCTGTTTCCATATGTTCACAAAGTATCGGCACGACTGCATTATGAGTGACCAGCAGACACCTGAAATGCTTCGTTTATCTCTACAGGACCTGGCTATTCGCGTCAAGATTTGCAAGATTGGCCGGATCGAAGAGACACTTAGCGATGCGCTGGATGCTCCATCTGCTAAGAATATTCGCCGAGCTATTGATGCATTGGTAGATGTTCGTGCCTTGACAACAGCCGAAGAACTCACTCCTTTGGGCCACCAGCTCGCGAGATTACCTCTTGATGTGTTCCTGGGTAAGCTTATCTTGTTGGGCACAGTATTCAAATGTCTCGACATGTCTATCACCGTTGCTGCTATTCTCTCATCCAAGTCACCCTTTTCTGCCCCCTGGGGTCAGCGTACACAAGCCGATAATGCACGAATGGCCTTCCGTCGAGCAGATTCCGACCTTCTCACCATATACAACGCCTACCTTGCCTGGAAGCGAGTATGCCAAGTCAACAGCGGCGGGGGCAAAGAATTTCAGTTCTGTCGCAAGAATTTCCTCAGTCAGCAGACGCTGGCCAATATCGAAGACTTGAAGGGCCAACTGCTTGTATCCCTAGCAGACTCGGGCTTCCTCTCCTTAACAGAGGAAGAGCGCCGTACACTGGCACGTCTTCGATTCGCACAGGGTCGTCGGCGCCAGCAAAACTTTTACGAAGTTCCTCGACGAGTCAACATCAATAGTGAAAATGACTTGATTTCCTCATCGGTCATTGCCTGGAGCTTCTACCCCAAGCTTCTTGTTCGCGATACACCCGGTACGAAAGGTCTCCGTAATATTGGCAATAATCAGAACATCAGTTTGCACCCGTCCTCCGTGAATAGAGGCTTCTTGGACATTAAATGGCTATCCTACTATCACATTATGCAGTCAAAGACGTGAGTGTCCCCGTGCTGGTTCCGTGTGGAGAAGTCACTAACAGCTGCAGTGTTTATCACGCGCATGAAACCACTGCGGTTGAACCATTTGCCATTGCCCTTCTTTGCGGCGACGTCCGCTGCGATGTATGTATGCCCCTTCACAGTTGTCCAAATCGCCTTCAGTATCTGACCCGCACCAGATGTTCTCGGGTGCAATTGTCCTCGACGGTAACAGAGGACGCTTCGCCCTACCGGACTGGAAGACTATGCTCGTCCTCAAAGTCCTCCGTACTCGACTCCGCGAATTACTTACTCGTTCGTTCAAACAACCGGGTAAATTACCGACTGCCCAGCAAGAGAAATGGCTAGAAGTGTGGCAGAAGTTGTTCACGCAAGATCAGAGAGACGATGGGAAGAGCAGTGGTGTATCTGTGGCTGTGACTAAGGCATAGGTTGCGAAGTAGCTTAGTTTTGATGCACTGGGATCGGCGAATGACTACTGTCACAAGGATTCCTTCACGATTGGGACATATAGGATATCATACATAACATAGACATAGACAACTGATGGCTCATCAGAGGCAAAGACTTGATTCACAAATAGAATCCCGCATCACACAGCAAACCGTCAAGTAGTGTTAGTAGTCCATGCCTGACAGCGATTCAACATATCTTTCCCTAGACTGCACGACATAACCATGGTATAGATACGCAGCTCCTACCCTCATGTCATAATTAGGGTCTCGCACCCTACCCATTGCTAATTTACAAATTGATACATGGAAAGAAGGGAATCTACTCATCCTTCATTCTCCTTTTTGCCCGCCAAAAACATGGCTTTAAAGTCAGCATTACTCTTTGGCCCACCCTCCTTCTCCACAGGTTCGGACGCCGTCGCCGTCGCTGTCGCAGGCCGAGGTGCAAAACCTAACCCCCTTTTTGGACCAGGTCTGCCGACAGGTCGTCTCGTAGCCTGCGGCGGAGCCATAAGCCCCTTTGGCCTGCTTTGTTGCACGGGCTTATTGCCAGGTTTATTCTGACGTAATTCATCGGGGGATCCTGTACGAAGCGTATGCCCCTCGTACTCCATGCTATCGAGCTGAAGGGCCGCTTTGCCGGCAGCGGCTGCGTCTGCGAATTCGATGATGGCGCCCCCGTGGCCCGGCTGGTGGACGAGTTTGACAATGGAGCCCAGAGGCTCGACGAGAGCTTTGACACGCGCGTCGTTTACGGTGTCGGGGAGACCCATGAGGGCAATAGTTCTGGCGGCTATTTCTGAAGACGATGGTTTAGAAGGGCCCTCTGCGACGGCGTCGCCCATTGCCTGGTCGCCTTCGGCGTCATTCAATGAAGACGGGGCAGGCGAGGCTGATGCGTGTTGGAATTCAGTTTTAGCAGATGGTTTCACCTTGCTCTCCTTTGAGAGTTCGACCTTGAGAATCTGAGACTTGAACTTGGTGTTATTCAGTTCTGCAACTGCCTTTTCAGCTTGATCCTTGGATTCAAAGTCCAAAAACGCAAAGCCGCGATTCTTGCCCGCCATGTTCAGCGGAATATTGACCCGCTTCACAGTCCCGAATTGACTAAACACAGAGCGGATTTCGGCTTCTGTGGTTGACAAATCCAAATTGCTGATGTGGACTTCACGACGTTCTGCGATGGCGCCCTCACGGTTCTTCTTGCGGCTAGGGTCGGAGTACTTTGCTAAAAGACGGTATTTGCCTTCCAGGAGCTTTCCCTCTTTAGCAACAGCTTTGGCGGAGGCATCTCTGTCGCGGAACGAAACGTAGCAAAATCTGCGGTGCGTGTTGACCTTAAGGCTTGGCCAGCGGATGCTCAGGATGTCACCACAGTCCTTGAATAGGTCGCGTATGAATTGGTCGTCGGCAGCGGGAGGGAAGTTGGCGACGTAGACGGTGAGGTCATGCCCCGGCTGAACAGTGATTTGAGACTCGCCAAAATACTTGGCGTCTCTAAGGAGGGCAGACTGCGCTTCTTCTGCCGAGCCAAATTCGATCAAGGCCGTGGTGGATTGGCCATCTTCTTCTTTGATGAAAGCGGTCAGGTTATTGATATGTCCGTAGGGCTTGAAGTATTTGCGAACTGCGGTTTGCGTAGCGTCTGCCGGTAGATGGGTAACAATGATGGTTGAATGTTCTCTATCTCTCTTGGGGGTTTGCCCATCAATCTCGGAAATTTCGTCACCATTCCTTTGGCGTTTACTCGCATTCTCTGCGTCGTCTTTTAGGTCTGTGAGGGACTCGCGCTTCCTCTTGGGCCCGCTCGGTGAGGATGAAGCATCTGCAGTGGACACGGACTGTTCGTTGGCTTCGAACCCTTCCCCCTGAGCTTGTGTTTGGGCTTGAGCCTGACTTTCGTAGTAGGCAGCATACTGCGCAGCCTGTTGCTCCTCCTGTTTCTTTCGGCGGTATGCAAGAATCTTTTGCGTCTTGTTCACAAAGTCATCTGCCTGCCGCACTGAGGTCGGGAGCTCGTAATTGTTGCAATGTTGCTGATACATTTCGAGCACCCTCTCTGGCCAATCGATAGTCTTGCGGGTTGCAGCGGAATACAGCACTGCGGTTGCTATCGTAGGGACATGGAGGCCGCCGTGCGGTGATACATCTTCGCCATGATTCTGCTTGGAAAATGCGAGCATCTCCCAAATGTAGTAGTTGAACCAAAAGTCGTAGCTGTCGGCGTGAACACTTCTATGCTCAAGCTTTTTCCACTGTACCCTGGCCTCTTCGATTGCGCCCTTCTTCTCCGTCAAATACTGAATATAGAGGCGTTCCAGTCGATACTTTGGGTCACCCTGGAATTCTTTGCCATAGAGCCTTTTCCCTGTGACTTCAACGTCTTCAATGGCAGCCCTTAAGCCAACCTCTGCGACGTCGGCAGCCTCATCAGAGGCGGCTGGTTCAAGTGCCGTTCTCTTCAGAAACGCGCACCAAGCACCATACATTTCAATCATACTCTCCATACCGTTCTTGTACAGTTGGTTATTACTTGTAGCAGTGTGCTTGATAGACTCAATATCTGCAAATGCCAGGTTTGCCTCCTCGGCGCATAGAATGTATCTGCTCCAAAGCCGCCCTGACCACGGGCAATGAAGGACTGACCTGCGGGACGCATCTAGCAAGTGATCAGCCGCAGACTGAAAGTCAGACGTCGACGAAGAGAGGAATACGATGTAATCATGCCAGGCGTCCTCGTCGGTCGCAAACAATCCGGTCAGAGCTCTGTCGAATAATCCAGCGCAAATATTCCGATTTATTTCGGCGCCGTCTTGGCGTCTCTTCGTCCCTCGCACCTCCCAATCAAGATATTCCCGTAGTTTGGCCTTTTGTGCTTCGACATCGCCGTTACGATGGGCTTGTTTCAGTTGAAATTCAAATGGATCGCGTGCTTGGATGGCTTTCTTCGTAGCCTGGGCGTTAGCGGTGATTTCTTGCATGGACTTCTCCCATTCCGACTGATTATACTCCGATAGAAAGCCCGAAAATTTTTGTGCAGTTTCCTCCCAGTTTAAGTGTGGCGTAGCTAAACGCTGGCGGTAAAGATGGGTGATGCGACGGAGGCCCTCTGGGGTCTTGCTCTTGACAAACTGTTCCTTTTCAAAAGATATCCAGAGATCCCAGAGCTCATGACTATCGCTCAGGCGATATTTTATCGCCTCATAGCCTTGCTGCCACAGGTCCAGAGCAGCCCCGAAGGAAAAGACCTCTCGACCTAGCATCTGTTCCTCTTCAGACCAGCCAGCGTCGTTGGAGTTGCTGCTTTCCCACAGATGCCAGAAATAGGTGCAATAGGCCAGCCACAGACGCATGCTTCCGGGCTCATCACCGACGGCGCGCTTATACAGTTCGACGACATTGACGCGCTGCTCGAGATCGGAGGCGGTTCGAGTGGTCTCTTGGATGTAGGCAAGCCAGGCATCTTCGCCTACGGGGTTGGCCATTGTCGCTGTGACTGGACTCGCACAACAGCGAACATGTCCCAATGGTAGAAGCCAACGGAAGGTCTAGCTATGGAAGGGTCAGACTGCACCAGGATCGTGATGTGGTGATATGGCGTGATGATACTAGAGTGGATAACTGAAATGGTGCCGCGATCCTTGCTTGTGCTTGTCTTTGGGCTGTGAGCTCTTCTGAAGCTCAAGTGCTTGAGCTGCCAGCTGCCAGCTGGCCAGGACAATGGCAAGATACTACCGTGCTCTTGTCCAATCACAGCATGCTTATGGCTATGGATGTGGGGCATCTTGAACATGGACAAGAGGCAAAACGTATTTAACCAGGTCAGGTACCTGACTATCGCCTTCTCTGCTATACTACAGTACAGTATGTTAGTGTATACTTCTCGGTGGGCAAAATACATACTAGAAATGCCGAGTTCTGTCCCCGTTTCTCATGGAAGAAGCATCGATGCTCGTCACTGTATGAAAATCGCTGCTTCAATTCTACTCCCCTACTCTGTAACATCAATCAACATCCATCAGATCTCATTGCCGTCCATGTTGCCCTTGCTTGTGTTGCCACGAGCCAGTGGCAAAGACTCCGTGCTCCTCCTACTCTATGACTCCGATGCCAACGCTATCTGACTCGAGTAGACTGCCGACTGAGACAAACGCCACTCTATATGGATGTTTCTAAGGAACATGTCATCCGAAATCCGGCGTGCGGAGCGGAGCGTGTAGATGTCTCGGGCGAAGTGCGGAGAACACGAGCACCAATTCTCAGAACAGTTCAATTTGTTTACTAGGCATGCGGCGCGCTGACTCATGTCCCAATCACCAAAGACGCACTCTTGGCCGCTTCTTTTCAGCTATTTTCTGCGATCCGCCCGTGGGTATCACCCTACCTGTTACGGTAGGTGAACATGTGCTGAAATCGGGACGGCAGTGTATGACGTACTCGGAGACCCCTTTCAGCCATTCGGTGACTTGGCTCGGGCTCTTTGGCTAGCGACTCTAGCTAGTGGTTTGTTTTTTACATTGTCAACCGTGACTACGCACGTCAGCTCCGACAAACCGCGGTAGGGGTTCATAAGTTCTTTTAACTGTAAGTTGTGTACTACTGTTCTTGCGGTACTGAGACATGGACGATGCTAATGCTGAGGCCGCGGGCTGATAGCAAGTTGTTACCCTACACACTAGGAGAGACGGATTTCTACCCTTTCTACCCCAGCCATGTTTGTCATGGTACGACTGAATGCGGGCAAAATGTTGAGATATGTGAGAGTTGAATACAAAAGCAAAGACTCAGTTCCCTAAGCGATGAATTACGGGACGCCCCAGCGCCTCCGGTAGGTATCAAGCTACACCCCTCCTTCGAAAGATAGGGTAGTGGCCAAGTTCCTCTGCGATCTGAACTCAGGTCCGGTGGACGGGGTGTCCGCTGAACATATTTCAGACGAAGCTAACTACCGAGTTATACTTGCCGCTAGCACCAGACGTTTTGCAAAAAACTCTATTCAGGAATAGTCTCCATTGCCCAACGGGCCTAAACATTTTGCCACCAAGACGCTCAAGCTAGCATTAACGAAATTGTACCGGATTGCAGCAAAATCTATCTCGCTTCAAGCCTAATCTCAGTCACCCGAAAGTGATTGCGGCATGTGACCGGCCTTCATGTATCAGCTTGTTCACAGGACTTGGATTCAAGGTATGGAAAAACCGCCGCCGTACGGAGCATGGAGAATATTTGGCAGTGTCTTAAAACGCCACCCATCCTTCCGCGGCTCCATCACCGGGACTAGGCGGACGGGAAGTGCGCCGTACATCGAATAGAACTTGACATATACAGCTGATATGATACGTCGATTTTGGGTGAGTCTTTTCTGGTGGCGCTTGCAAAGTATTCGCGTATTTACGGAGTTGTGACATGCTGCCCTCCCCCTTTGTTTTCCCCCTTTCTTTTATGATATTACCGCCATATGTCTGTTGGCTCGCAAGCAATGCCAAGAATCACAACACGTCATATTACGGCGTGCGGTTTTTTATACACTCACCAACAAAGCAAGCAGCACAATGACCAACGGCAAAAACGGGATACACGATGCTATTCTAAACCTTTGAGAAAAAAAAAAAAAAAAAAAAAAAGAAAGGCCAAATATTGGGAAGCGGCTACGTCAGGGCCTTGTCCGGCCCATTGGCACACTTCTTCGTAAGCCAATATTTGTGCCCCGTTGAATTTGCCGGGTCGTGTCATTGTTTTGCCCTTGCTTGCCCAGAGGAGAATCAACTGTCGCGGCAAAAGATACCCGGAGGCACTTGGAGTTTGAAAATCGAAGGAGCCATGTTTTTTTTTATCCCAGATTCAATCGCGTTTCCAGCATTGGTGTCAACATTGTTGCACGATCTTGCAGCAGAAACCCCACCATATGCAGCGAAACGCAATCCCCAGACATGGACCTTGATCAGACGAGAGTTTCCGGGCTGCCGCCACGAAACCATTGGTGCAGCAGAAATACCCGTGCTGCCGGGTTCCAGCAGCCAAGCGGCGCCAAGATGACCACCACTTGTTCCTCGATGTCGAAAAGCTTCTGCAGGGACATGATGGTGAGCACATTTGCCTCTGCTAGAGTCCGACTAAGAAAGTAAAGGATCCGGGCTAAAATCGCTGTCACTGTACAATAACGTTCATTCTCTGGCCATCGGGGTCTGGTTCAATGGTACCACAGCAAGGACAAAGCTGGGATCTACACGGTGGGTGTGCTCTGTACATCATATCCACATGCGAGAATATCGGAAAAAGTAGTCTGGGTTCGCCTGGCAGCTGTTAGGGACGAAGGAGATGGCAGAGCAAGTCGGAGGAAGGGTTTGCCTGAAAGCCACCCCGCAACTAGTTAAAATGGTATAGGGACTAACTACATACATACTGTAGTGTCTGGGAGCTGGATGGTTGGGCGGCCACGTTGTTTTCCGACGCCATGGGCACACGGACGGTCAACAAACGCCTGTGCGTTGCGTTAGGAATCTCCCGTTGCCGTTTGCGTCTCTCGACTCTTGTCGGGGTCGGCAATGTGGGCAAGGTTGGCTAGTTGGTTAGTTTGGCTTGGGCTGTCGATCAAACCCACATACTGCGGACTTGTCTTCACAATATGCACGACGACGGAGACTTTATGGCTGTGCCGTTCTTCGGCCTGGACATTGTACATCAGCAAATAAGGAGTTGTTATGTCGTCTTTGCCATTTATTGTTTGTGACACCGCTGCGACAGGTTGCAACAACTAGGCCGTAACGACAAGTTCTGAACCGACAACCCGTCCTCGCAACATACAGTTTGTCTCCTCGAAGATTGACAACAGCACTATAACCAGCTAGCTTCCATCACGCTCAGTTCACGCCGCCTGAACAGTACGGAATACAGAGACAGACTTATATCGTACTACTTGGTTACTATTTCGAATTTATAAACTTTTATTTAGTGGCGCATGGACCCCTCTACACTACCTCGTCTTGGCGTGAGTTGCGCGGCTTTTGTAATGGTGAGTGGAGAATCACTTTTGCGGCCTTGGCGACGAACTAATACCGCCACCAGTCGGATCGTTAGTCTGTGTTCCAGCCTAGGCGATCGTTTTTATTGCAGAAGGCGAGCCATGGTGGGCAGCCTGATCTTCTGCTTGTCTGGTTGTCCGGGTGCCTGGTTGTTCTGGCTGGACATGCATGCCATGACTACGCAACCCTGCCCGTGGCGACCAGCAACGTCTCTTGCCTTGAAGCGAGCACCACGAGGGTCTGTGTCCAGAGTATAGAGATTCTAGAGAGCCTTGGAATCAAACCGGATAGGTTGTTGCTGGTAGTTGAGCGCTGGCGGCTGCCGAGCCGAGCAATTCACAATCCAGCAGTACCCCTGTGCAGCGGTCCTTGAGTCCTACAATGCTACATTTGATACAAGAATATTGACGACTTGTTGGAGCCCTGGGCCGGCCGTCCAGAGCTGAGAAACACTAACATTGTACCGAGTTTTGGGTTGTTTCCCAGGAACCTCCCTCCTTCGACAATGTCCCACATCAAGACTCCAAGACACCGATCCGCTTCTCTGGAGTCTCTGCCTTCAACCCTTCCGCCCCGATTGGTTTCCAGATTTGCTAGTGGACAGAGCACCTGGGAAGCCCGGACAAGGGTCATATCCCACTAGACAGGACAAGACGGCGATCCACTTCTGGAAACCTTGTCGACAACCTCCTCGAGGTCAGTCTGGAGAGAGGCGAACAAAGCAGAGCTCTAGTACTGTAACCATGCATAAACGTCCTAGTACGCCACCGCCCTTTATCAGACTACCTAGTCTCCTTCCATCTGAAATTGAGCTCCGAGCGCTACCAGAGGCGCAGGTCTAAGCTAGGAACCCATGCGCAAAGAGCACGCGCTTCTCCAGTTTCTCGTTGGACTACCAGCTAAACGGGCTGTCATGGCCAAACAGGATTACGGACTGAGGAGGGTCTACACGTAGTTGACTGACCCATGCTTGCTCGTGGCTTGTTCTCAACATCTTATGGTGCCAAACGGTTTGACCATCGAGGGCTAGGGGTTCCGCTCTTCATCCATCCGAGTCCCTGTCAGCCTCTCTTTAACATCCCATTTCTGCTCTCGTAGGGACATTGGCCTTCTTTTCCTCAGATATTTAATTTTCTGACCTTGGCATAAGACCACCACCATTATCGCTCCCTGTTGGCAAAAACGATGAGCTATCAGCGCTTTGAGTGGTCTGGGGATAGACTGGCCCACGTTGATAGTTTTCGGGACGGTCCTCTGCTGCCACCCAAGGACGCCTTCTCGTTTGACCTAAAAGAAGCCCTCGAGCTTCCACCATCTATTCCAAGCTCCCCTTCTGCTTCTACTCTCTCTGTTACAGCAGTGAACAGATCCTTTGAAGGTGGACCGCCATCGGTCATCAACAGGCATCCACACTTTCTTCAACAACACCAACAACAGCAGCAGCAGCAACACTTCCAACAGCTACACGACCAACGGCAGTTGCAAGCATCTCCTGCGCACCTACAGCGCTTCACCTCTCACAGGGGATTCAACATGGCGTCCACACACAAGGCCCAGGCGCAATGCCTTCAACTCTGTTCCGAGGTCGCTAGTGCATGCGATAGGATTGCGGAAAAGATGTCCGAGTACGCAGGGTTGGTGAAGCACTTCCCACACGGATTCGGCCCCTTGGCCCGTGACGTGCTCGACACTTGTCAGGTTCTCTTCTACATCGAGGCGGGCCTTGGCGAGGCCTCTCGCAACGACCAATCCCTCCCCCTTGATATGATTACCGTACTAGAGAAGAAATTTCGATCGGCACAGATTACCTTCCGTTCTCTTGACCATGTTATAGCCAAGTTGCTCGAACATGAAACCAAAGGCGCCATGGGTCGTATGCGCCGCGGCTTCGGTAAGATGTTTGGAGACCACAGCCTCGAGCGAATGAACGCAGCTGTAAACAAAACGCGAGATGAAATGAAGGTTGGCGCTCTCATGTTCCAATTCAAGCTTGGTGCTGAAAAGATGGAGAGCGAGCTTGGCATCGGATACATTGGTCTTGCCTCTGCTCTGGACGGAACTGAGTTTCGACGCCAACGTGCCGAATCATTGGCGTCTGAGGAGAAAAGCTCGGCATACCGCGGCACAACCAGGGTTCCGTCCCAACACCGAAGTGTCGATGATAACCACGTTGCTATGATCACAGAGTCTCCGCTGCCTCTTCTGCCACCCATCCCCAAGGCGGAGCTGTCGCCTCACTATGGTCACGACTCCTCCCATGGAGACAGCAATGGCTTCACCTCGGTATCAGATTACGGCCATCTTAGCCCTGGAGTAAAGAGATACACCTCGAGCTCCGCCGCAAGCTCTTACGATGGACATCAGTCGAGACGAGCAACGGGCCAAGATAAACTCAGCGCGTTTGAGGAGGAAATTGAAAACAGCACAGCGTTGAATGAGCTTGTAGAGGATGTCAAGTCTCGCGAGCTAGACAGCTCCAAAGTACTCAAGCTAGACAGCGAGCCATTTGGCATGCCTCGCCGAAAGCCTCGCACCAATGCCGACGCGGATAGACCAAATGTCAAGCAGGTTTTGGTGTCTGCGGTTCGTGCGAGGGACCACAAGCTTCTTTTACAGCTTCTGGATCGGGGTGTTTCTCCCGACACTGGCATCGAAGCTCACGCTCTCAACGAGGCCATCTTCTCCCATGATGCCGAGAGCATTCGCATGTTGCTTCTGTACGGCGTGGACCCCAATGCCACCGACAAGCATGGTGTAAGCCCACTTGTTGCAGCGGCAGAGAAGTCATATCTGGACGCTGCCATTGCGCTTGTCAAGTACGGCGCAGATCCCAACATGTCTGTCGGTCCTGAAAAGGACTCACCGGTTTCGATTGCCGCTGTCGCCAACAATGTCAGCTTTACACATCTGCTTCTGATGTACGGCGGAAAAGCAAAACAGTCCTTGTCAAACGGCGACACTCTTCTCATTGGATCCATCAATAAGAAGACTCCCAAGACATTGATCGACCTGCTTCTCAACTACGGGGCTGACGCCAACGAGAAGAGCAGAGAAGGTAAAAGCCCCCTTTTCCAAGCAATTACCAGTGGTAGAGCCGACATCGTAACCTCCCTCATCGAGCACGGCGCCAACCCCAACAACCCTGGGCCCAAGCACATGCTCTGGCCAGCCATCCATGAGCCGGCCTGCTTGCAGGTGCTCCTCGCCAACAAGGCAGACTACAGGAAAGCCCCTGGTCTCATGGAGCTCGCCACGAGTATCAACAACCTGGATGTCATCAGGATCCTCCTCAAGGCGGGCGTCGACCCCAACGCCAAAAAGGACGGGGTCTACACTCCCCTGTGTACAGCGATCCGCGACAACCGCAAAGACATCTTTGACCTCCTCCTTCGAAGCGGTGCTGATCCCAACGTCCCCGCCAGTGAATACCCATGTTTCAAGTGCGTCACTCACCACCGAGAGCAGTTCCTACCTGCTCTCGTCGCCGCCGGCGGCAACCTAAACTCCCCCAAGGGCATTCTCGAGACGGCCGTGACATCCAAGAACGGCCCGGCCCTGAAATGGCTCCTCGACCAGGGCGTCGACCCCAACGAGAAGACGCCCAAGGGCCACACAGCGCTCACCAGCGCCATCCGCGACAACCACATCGGCTTCGTGGACACGCTCCTCGCGCGCGGCGCAAACCCCAACGTCCGAGGCGAAGACTGGCCCGTGTGCATGGCCGTCCACAACCCAGACCTGCTATCCCGCGTGCTGGCCGTGCTGGCCGAACCCCGCGCCTTCAGGGGCGTCCTCGAGCGCGCCGTCTGCGCCAACCAGCTCGAGTCGGTCAAGCTCCTCCTCGCCGCGGGCGTGTCCGTCGAGGACAAGAACGTCGGCGTCTTCTCGCCCCTGACATCCTCCATCCGCGAGCTCCACAAGGACATCTTCGTCTTCCTCATCAACGAGGGCGGCGCCGACGTCAACGCCCCCGGCGAGCACCTGCCCATCGTAAAGGCCCTCCGCCGCTGCGCCACCGAGGCCCCCGAGGTCATCGACATGCTGCTCGAAAAGGGCGCCGACCCCAACAAGATGTACAGAGGCTGGAACGGCATCATGCAGGCCCTGGAGAACGGGGACGCAGACATGCTCAAGAAGCTGGCGCAGAAGTCGGGCGTCGACCTCGACGTCAAGGACGAGATGGGCAGAACCGTCACCGAGATTGCCATCTCGAGGCGGTGGGAGGAGGGTGTCGACATTCTGCTCGCACACGCCAAGTAGACCTTGCCACGAATTGTTTTGGTTTCCTTTGTAGCAAATGTTTTGGTTTGGAAAGGCGAGCTTGTAGGCTCCCACTTTTGCACTGATACCACGGGTGTACGATATACATAATCATTACCATGCGAGGCAGTTTAGCCCTCTTGGTCGCTACGGAATATAATTTGACACATGTTGTTGCTAACGCAGTGCACAATGAGGAATTGTGACTTATAGACCGACATATTAATATACTTTCGTTGACATTCATGACACATTTCGAGATCAATTTACCGTGATCAACATGTTTATTCAAGACATCTCTACAACGGCACTCTATTGCAACACGGGAAAGTCTTGCACACAGACATCGATCGAACCCATGTTTGAATAAGCCAGACGGGACATTGCGGCAGCGGCTTCAACAGGGTCTCATCAAGGTGTTTCGCTTGATATGAGTCCATGCCTTTTAGTAAAACGCCTCGTCTTCTTTTTCCACTTTTACGTTTCGATCAGCATCTACCTTTGAGTTACATTGCGACCGTTCCTTGACGTCACATTCAAAAGTCGCACGAGTACAACTCTGCGCCGTGAGTCGTCGAGTTGCTTCGGTGAGCTTGACATTCGGTTGACGCGTTTGATCGCCGCGGATTCTATTCGTTGATAAATCTCAACCCCGCCTTGTGTAGGGGTACACCTTGGATGAGATACTGAACCCTAACCCTTGGAACCTGGTTTCGTGGCATCTACAACCCGTTAAGCTTGTGTGTTGTCTCGGGTCAACAAAAATTTGATTAACGGATGTAGCAGTCCGCACAAGGCGATCGGCATAACCCCATGCAGAGCAACACCCGACCAATCCGTCGCTTGACCAAAAACAACAACAAAAAGGTTGTGCTTGTTACAGATTCATTAGGTCTGTGGCACTCGGGCTATTCTTAGTCACATGTATGCGCTGTCATGAATAGGGAGCTCGTAGCTGGGCACGTGTTTTTCAAGATACTTATATCCACCACCCATCGCTAGGATTGTAAAGCAAGTTGTGGGGTAAACTGATTCTGGTACGTACTTTGCATGCAATATGCTACTTCTCTACTACCTGCTGCAATTAAATTGAGTCTGGTCTACAGGTAGTAGGTATGGTAAGCCTATTCGGCAACCGAGCTGTGCTCAACAAACTCTACATGTAATACCGTGCGCAATAGAATAACTTGAAAGAAAGTAGCCGCCTTTGTTCGCTTTATGGTTTCAATCCGTTTCTGAGCATCGTATTATAGTCGCCACCCTGATGCCAAAATGAAAAAAACAAAAAAAAAAAACAAAAAAAAACTTCCCAAGATACTGCGCAACGCTAAACGAGATGTTAGGCGGACATGTGCTGTCAGGAGTGTACACTGCATGCAGCTCTGATTAGAACTAAAAATACTTCATGTGCATACTTATTTGAGTAAGCAACGTTCCAATGCTGGTCGACTGCCTCCCTACCTACCTAGGTACCTAGGTAGACAAGTACGGAGTCAAGAGGCAGCAGAGATGGTGTTCGTGCAACCCATCTTGCGCAAAGAGCGGGCCGAAGAATGGCTGTGATTCGTTTGAGTGTCCATGGCCATTGCTCCGTAGGTTCTGTGCCTTTGGGAACACAACCGCAGCAGCAGTTGGCTGGATGCCAGTGCGTCACTCCAATCACTACAACTGTCGGCGTGGTTGTTTCAAGTTCTGTGGTGTGGGGTTTGATGCTGTGGCGCGTTGATTCATTCGAATTGATCATTGAGTGAACCCTCCCGTCCGTCGTTGATATTCTCAGGGCACACTCCTCGTGGATCTCGTCAAGACTCAAAACCCAATCACCAAGCTCGGATCAGCGCCAGTTTTAAGCTCCCCACCTCAGACTATTCCTAGGCGCTCCTGACATGCAGACTTGGGCGCTAAGACGCAAAGCAAAGACCGAGAAAAGGACGCTGCCGCGCTTATTAGGAATCCAGATTGTCTCAGAGTTTGCAGAGCTGGTTTTGCATCTGGCTGCTAGACGAATGGAAGGGTGGCCAAAGTGCGGCGTGGCACGCTGTGATCGGGTCCTCGTATTAATTTATGGCTGTCAAAGCGATCATGCCAGGATTGGCCCTTTTATTAGGCTTTCCGTCGAGGATATTTCCAGTTGTCCAGGTCGCGAGACGACGGCCTTTTTCGTTTCACAGGGGTGGCTTGCCCATGACCCCTGACTACTGCAGCCACGTATCCAAGCGGCTGTGCAAGACCCCTTCTTGTGCAAGACCCCTTCTTGGTTCGTCGGCCACATTGATCCTGGGGATGGGAAGACTGATAATCTTTCGTTTTGTACGGAGTACGGAGTGCTCCTCTGTACGGAAGAGTATGCCAGCTGTCACGTTCGCCGCCAGCATACCTGGGGAATGGGGGTGGTTGGTCCAAAAAAAAAAAAAAAAAAAAAAAAAAAAAAAAAAAAAAAAAAAAAAAAAAAAAAAAAAAAAAAAAAAAAAAAAAAAAAGCCAAAGGGAACGGCTCGAGACTTCGCGGCATGCGCAAGCCCTCCACCGGTATGCTCATTGGCCCTGCAGCCGCATTGACGTGACACTCTTGTCGAACAAAGGATTCGGGCTTTTTTCTCCCCTCATCGCGTTTGCGTGCGTCATTTCGAGTTCTGCTCTCTGCTTGGTCGTCATGGTCATAATTTCCGCCAGGCGCCCCCATGTAAGACCTCGATGGTTTTCCCCGACCAACCCCGCTACTATTCGTGGTAGTATTTGTTTGGGATGCCCTGTCGCAGAGAAGGGCCAGGGATCATGACGGATGCATTGATGGAATGAACTGGGCCCATTCAGTTTCTCGCCTGGCCGGTCCGCCATGCCTGCCTTCATATCGAACCCTCTGCTCCTTCCACAACTGTTATTAATGGTGTGTGTGCCTGCTCCTGAAAAGTACTGCCGATAATTCCCAGCTCACAACTCCTTCCCAGTTGGAAATGCAAGCTAGCGGACAGTTCTCCGTATGTATTGCACAATTTGCCTGGTGTCCTTGTGCATGGCTTCGCTGTTCCTGTCGTCCTGTGTCGCAACGAGTTGTGCTGTAGCTCCTCCTACCAGCCATTCTATGCCAGTTGATGCTTGATGGCTTGATGCCTGTGCCCGCCCGTGTCTGTGTCTGTGTCTGTGCCTGTGCCTGTGCTTGTGCTTGCACTTATGCTTGGCCTTGGCACTTGCACTGCATCGACCTGCATCCATCTTGCCAGACCCGTCAGGTTCGCTTAGCCGCTCCCCTCCTTCGTCCTCCGAAGCAAGTGTCATATCGTTGAATCCCGTCCTCCTCCCCTTGTCGCTCTCTGACCCTCACTTTCTCACCTCACACTCAACTTTCTTTGCCATTGTGCCTGACTACTCCTGCCGTTTGGCCGGTATGTTCATACCAGACTGCACTCGCCTCTATACTTTCTTTCTTTAACTTACCCTGGCGAGTTCACCGGCCTGCTGTCATTCTGTCACTACCAGGCTCACTTATCAAAATTCTCGTTGTTCCATCGAACCACCCAACTTGGCCACGCCACTTTTCACATTCTTGACTTTGGGTTCACTTGACCGACTCAGTTGTCTGCGATCCATTCCTTTGCCGGGTTTACAGCTCTTTTATTCGTCTGTCCATACCCTTTTTCTTGCGACTGGTGACCAAATTGTCGCATCGTCTCGGCCGTCGACTTGATCTTCACCCACACCCACCTTCACTTTTCCATTTTTGTTGTGTCGTTCGGCTCTTCCTTCATCACAAACGGCGAGGACTTTAGTGGCACGTCTTCGAAGTCATTTTATTAATATACGCCAACATATTGTGTGTGTTGGGCTTTCACAGTATCCTGACTACACTATCAACACAACGTTAGGTCGCACAGTCGACTCATAAACGAAATCATGGGTCGACTTTTACCTCTTTTCCTGGGTGTCTTCAGCACGCTGCATATTCTCGGGGTTTATGCGCAAACAGCCCCAGCATGTGTTGTGAGTTTGACAATTTGTTATCTTTAGTGGCTCTTATTACACTTGTTGTTTGATTTGAACGAGACGTTCAAGAATCCCTTACTCATTATAGCTCCCAGGAAACTTGCACGAATGAGGTCCGAAATAAATTCGCAGATTTAAAGTGCCCGGATGCCAATGCTGCACCTTGCTTCTGCACGAACCCGACGTTTTCTGCCGCGATTCTTGAGTGCAGCAAGGCGCAATGTGCAGCAACCGCCGATAATGTCTTTACTTATCTCTCGTCGCATTTCTGTGTCGGTAAGTGATGCCTTAAATGCCCTAAATGAGAGCTCCACGACTGAGAATTTTTATACGGGAGACTGAGTTGTGTATAGGCCAGCCACTTGCTAAGTCTGATAATACTGCTGCTCCGAGCTCTGAGGCCTCGAAGACGCCAACTCCCTCGGCCCATGCTACCACCAGCACATCGGCTGTGCCCGCACCCGAAACTACTTCCGCAACTTCGTCTTCCGCAATCTCGTCTTCTACAACTGCTACCCCATCCGCAACGTCTTCGATGAGTGCTCAGTCGACCACCACTTCTGCTACCGTTGAGACAACTGGCACATCCACAAAATCGTCCTTGCCGTCCTCTACCTCGGACAGTGCCGCTAGTGCTACTTCCTCCAGCGCCGCAACAGAGGGCTCTGCATCCAAAGGTCTATCCCAGGCGGCAATTGCTGGAATTGGTGTCGGCATAGGTGCTGCTGTCATTGCCATTGCCGGCATTGTTATTTGCATGCTGCTAAAGGCCCGAAGACGCAAGCCAGGTCGCCATGGCCACAACAAGGACATTTCGAAGCCACTGCCTGGACCTGACAGGATGTATGCGCAGCGCGATACTAACTTTAGACGCGACCGGGACCACTCTATGGAAAAGTTCGGCAATGATCTTGAAATGACCTCCCACCGTTATGAAGACATGGTGCCCCGGACCCAGCCTAGGACCTTGGTGTAGAGATATAGAGGAGTGGGTGAACATTACCGGAGTGGCCTCGAATGTCAGAGATGGGAACACAATTGAGTATTTTTCTGCCCCCGGAAGAAACTGTGTGCTATGCTCTCCATCGAATTGCTCTCTTTTCAATGGGTTGGAATTGCAACCATATTTCAGCCGCAGCATGTTCCTCTGACCAGCCATCCGTTGTGGGTGTAGTATAATATTAGTAAAATCACGGATTGACGAAGCAGAGCCAAGGTCTTGTCTATTGATATATTCCATACATTCATATGCACGATACATTAGGACCCCCTGTGCGTGGCAAAGCAGAAGCAGGCCTAGTTTATGCCCCGAATAAGAAGCGCTTTATTTTCTGTTCTTCTAGCAGAAGTTAGTTCTTGTAAGATGGCATGTTGGAGTTGGCGCTTAATTTCAGTCCAATCCAACACAATTACATCGCTACCTAGGTATTCAATGTACATATGGTGTTACAAAATGGTGTCTGTGAAAGGACACATCTGGTGTGAGGTTTCGAAGTGGTCGAATATGGTCTTGCGCCTCTACCACGAGTAGTAGGGTCGCTGTCCGTGGACACGACGGTTGGGTAGGTGGACCCAGGGTCCCTTGGCAGCCTTCTTGGCCTCTCGTTCCTCATGCTCTCTTATTCTCGTCTTTTCCTCTTTCAACAGAACCGTGAAGCCTATAGAGGACCAAACCGTTAGTGAACGACCGACAAGCGGGTAGGGAAGAGTCAAGACTAACTTGTACTAGGGTGTTGAATAACACCCATTCTCCCACGGCCCTTGTAATCAATCTCCTTGCCTCTCCAGGGTCCACGTCCAACCCAAGACTGCGCGACATACATCCGCGTCGGGTCCGTCACCTCAATCCATTTGCCCTCCCTCGTGAATATCTTCCTGGGCTTATCGAACACCTCCCCATTGACTTTGCCTAACCCCATGCCCCTCTGCGCAATAGCCAAGTCCCTGGCCTCCTCCAAGTAATACTTGACTTCAGCAGCCATCTTCTTCTTGGACCACTGCATTTGCGAAATCGCCTCGTCAACAGGCTTACCCGCAATCTGTCTCGACAGCATGACCAGCTTCTTGACACTCGTCGGCATGAAGTGGCTCTTGTGCAAGAGCTGCCGCTCCGTTGCTTTGATCCGGTCTTCCTTGGAGACGGCGCCGTTGCTGCGGACCATCTGAATGACTTTTTTGCGCTGCCAGCGTATTCTGCTCCGGGGATCAGGATCCGTCACCATGGCCATGTTTTCGCGCGTCTTTTGTTCCTGCTGCTGCTGGGCGGTTGCCTCCTTAGCAGAGGAAGGCCTAGCGGCGTCGATTTCGTCCTGGAAGATGTTGTCGGACACGGAGCCGTGCATGTTTCGCTCAAGAAAGGCAGCCCGCTTCTTGGGGTCGTCGAGCTCGGAGGTGGCGTCTTGGGGCGTCCTGGACGAAGGGGAGTCCTTTGTGCCGGACTTGCCCCAGCCCTTGAAGATGTTGACGGACCATTTGGTGCGGATCTGCGTGGTGGTTGTGCTGCAGGCGTTGGGGAGTGAGGGCCGGACTGGAGAAGGGCCGCCTGCGACGGACTGTCAGAGCATGTAGACGAGAAATCGACATTGAAAAAGGAGTCAACTGGAGGGTAAGCGGGGAGGAATTGAATTACCTGAGAGTGCTAGCCGCCGGCTAGCTAGGCGTAAACTCATGGCCGCAAGTGTTGCGAGCAGCCTCAAATCTACCGCCCGTGCAACTTGCAACCTTTTGTCGCCGATGAATTGAGCTCGTCTCGCGGAACCGGTAGAGTAGCTTTTCGCTCTGGCCCGGACTTCACCCGCTGGGCCGGGAACACTGGGACAGACAGAGCTTGCACGTGACTATCCTAGCGCGATTAACATCAGGCCATGCTTTCCTCGGTCCACCCAACATTGCCCGCCGAACGATCCCTTCAATCTTCGACATTGTCAATCAACACCTCGCATCACTCGTCAAACCCGTTGTCGTCTGCTTCGGAAAGCAAAATTATTCACAATGCCTGCTGCTCCTATCACCGGTGTACGTTTTTCGCGACTCAATGGCTCGGAATGGGGCGGAAGAGGAGGGCCGTGGAAAGCTTGGAAATTGTGGCATGCTGACTGGTTGGAATAGATTTTGCGACGACGCCTGATTCTTGACCTTGGAGTTGGTCTGGGTACGTTTGATTCCTTTTTGGGTGGTGGAAAAGCTTGCCTAACGCTTGTTCATTTCTTCATGGAGGATCCCACCCCGGGGGTCGGAGCGTTGGGCGGAGAGGGAGTCGTAGGAGTGTGTGCTAACGTATCTTAGGCGCCGGCTTCGCCATGGCCAACCTCTTCTGGTGAGACGAAACGAACGAATCAAAGGCAACATTTGGCGCGGAATTGTTCATTCTAACGGAGGATAGGTACGGCTTCCACATGCCCCGAACCAACGCTCGCGATGCCTTCTACAGCAAGCTGGAGGCTGAGCGTGCCGAAAACAAGCAGTAAGGAATGCTGCGAGGATGAATTGCTGCTAGGAGGAGTGTATTTAGGGAGCGAAGAAAAGTAGAGAGTGGATAGTGGACGGATATCCATTTTGTTTCACTGGCGTCGCTGCCGCAAAGCATAGAACGGGCGTGGGAAGAGCTTGGCTAGCTCGCTGGACTGTGGTGTATAATGGACCAGGAACCCGGTGATTGATGCTTTAATATTCCTTATGTGAATTTGGACGTGTGGCCCTGTGATCTACTGCGACGGGTGACGTCACTTGGAATCAGGCTTGGTGATATTTTTGATTATCTCTTTGGCGTGTTCAGCTTACTTTCCAACTCCTCTCTTTGTGTCACGTTATGCTAGGAGGAATTACAGTAGCGACAGAGATGAATACTCACAGCTGGAGCTGCCTCCATTGACAGCCGTGGCTGTTCATTTGCACAGCGGAGCAATATCGCCTCCGTGAGACTTGGCCGGCCCTCTACGGCAAAGACTTTGAACATAGATTTCGTAACGCCATGTGATAGCCTGTCAGTACAAGATTTATATGCACATCCAAATAAACTCATAATACATGACATAATGAACGCCTCCCAAGAATCTGTTCCACGCAGCGACCCGCCAATGCCACCATCACGACAATTCAACTCGCTACATCATCATGCCAACTCCCCGACCATTGAAACGGCCTCTTCCCTTCCTCATCGCCATCCTTCTGTCCCAGTTGCGCGTTCCGCCCTTCCCATGCCGTCGTTTCGACCATAAAACTCCCCTTCCTATCCGCGCACCTATCCGCTTTGTCAGCACCCACCAGACGGCACAAACTTGAACGTAACCCGAGAGAAACCAAAATAACACACAACACACACACCACGCGCACACGTACCTCCGAAAAAGCCTGTCCACCGGGAAACACTGCACCGCGCTCCCCCGCGACAGGGGTCTTTGCACCTCGCATTTATACTGCAGCATTTGGAGCAATTCACAAGCCGAAAGGTCGATCTTGGAGTTTGCGCCGGGAGCCGGTTTGCGCCGGCGGCCGTTGACGTCCAGCTGGATGCGGGTAGGCAGTTCGGACGCCGGGAAGGAGTGACAAGGCGGAGTCATTATTGAAATAGAGAATCGCTAGGGATTTAGCGGCGTGGGCTGTAGTTGTGATGGATGAGGCGATGGGAGCGAGGATCTTGGCGGGGATTGAGGAAGGGAGCCTGGAAGAGGTGAGTTGCGGGTGCGTGGTGGTGGATGGGGGCCTGAGGCTTGCGATGAATCATCACCACCTTTTTGTTTTTTCATAATCCTCATTTCCAATTTTGCGACTTGTTCTTGTCCTCATCTTCTCTTCATGCACCATGCGGTGAGGGATGAGATTCTCCCACATTTCCATCCCGTAGTCATACATGGGCGGACTTCAGGCCCCGTCCAACACAGCACCAGGCCCGAAACCCTCATCAGCAGCAGGCTAATACAACGCGACAGATTCTCAAAGCCGTCCGCAGCAAAATAACCGCCCCGAGCTCCGTCAAACAAACGCACATCCCGGCGCTTGATGCCCTCGCGGCAACGAACCTCCGCCGCACGCAGTCGCGCACCGTCTCCCTGTCCGGCCGAGCCCTGCCGCTGCTCTACAAGGTGATATCGACGCTCGTATCGGCGCCGCACTTTTACGCGCTGCTCGTGCTCGACTTGGACGCCCGCTTTGACCCTACCTGTCTGGAGACGGAGGCCTCGAACCTCCAGCACGTCTATGTTCAGCGGCCCGCGCAGAGCTCGCCCGAACACCTGCGCAGTCTGGTCGCCGGGGCAGAGGCCTTTATGCTGTATGATGACGCTACGAGGCTGAGCAGGGGACGGCAGTGGTGGGGGACAGTTGTGATGGGCGGTCTCGCGGCGGGTGACCTGACGGCCGGGTGGAAGGGGTGGGCGAGGGTTGATAGGGCAGCCGTGATGGGGTTTGCCTTGGGCACGAGTGCGGAGGAGGCTTTGGCGCAGAGGGCGACGAGGGAGCGGGCGGTTAGGGATGGAGGATGGGCTGTGAGTTCGGCGTTTGGAGGGTTTAGCTTTGGGGGCAAGGACGATGTTTGAAGGCGTCCAAGGGATGGCGATGGCGTTTGGGAACTGTCCCTTCTCATCACACGTTACGCTTGAACACGGGCAAGTTATGCAATATTGTTACTTGCATGTATATATATATATATATATACACGTCAGATATCGAGCTATATACTAATCGTTTCCGCAGCAAAACAACAGCTCCGAGTGCGCCACGACAACAACCACGTCCCCCCTTCCGTCCGCCCTGACGACCTCGTCGCTCGGTTTCCGCTGGACCTTGACGTCTTTCCCAGCAGAGTCCGCCTCGTACTTGGGCCCGTTGAACGTGATGCCCGTCGTCATTGTGGCCCCGTCCGCCGTCAACCTCTTCACCACCCACGTCGACCCGGCGCCGACCTTGACACGGTGCTCCCTGAGGTTCAAAACCGCGGTTCTCTCCTGTTCCCCGTTCAAAAAAGCCCCATGCGCGACATCCGTGTCGACGTCACCGTCCACCGGCAGGACCTGGACCTCGCCGTTCCTCGAATCCGCGAGGAACGTGGCGGCCGTCAACTTTCCATAGTACGCGGGGGTTCGTACAAGCCGGATTCACAGGCGACCCGAGAGACGGGCGAAGGTGCACGCGCTTAATCACGCCCGCCGACGCGGCATACAGAGAAGACTCCAAGGCACACAGCGCCGCGCCAAAGGTATCCGACAACCCCTCCGCGCCGCCCCCACGGAGTAGCCCGAGGGTCGACGACGCCCGGCATACAAGTCGGGTTCGTTGCCGACGTCAAAACCCTCCAGCTGGCCCCGAAGCTCGACATGCCAGCGGCACCGTGGCCTACAGGGTCGCAAAGCCCGGCGAATTCCAGAAAGCCAGGTTGAGTAGAGGCCCCCCCCCCCTCTTCTTTTCGA